GTCGTATTCCAGAGACTTCTCATAGCAACAAAAAGACTCAATTGTTTTTTCCATGAGTGAGCATTTTCCGCATTTACACCAGGAAAGTGTTGTAAGGCTCTTTCAAATTCATCATTATACTCATCCTCTTCACTATAAGTATTTTCACTAGAATCTCCGCTGCTATCTCCCTCGTCACCTTTATTAGGTTCCAACATATATGGCTCAATAACAGGCTCGTTCTGTACAAAATCGTCGAATACATCTTCCTCGCTTTCTGTACAAACAGTCGCCATCTTGAAATTGTTGCTCTGTTGTGACGTCATGCGTGTTTTCTTTTAATGATTTGAAATTTTATTAAAGATGGCTGCCGAATGCTCAAAAATTAATGTTTTTAAATGCGGGATAACAAGAGCGTAATATACAGTTGAGTTGTTATTAAACTTTTTATTCTTTATTTAATATCTATTATTTTATTTAGTGAAGAAAAAAAATATGTTGCCATTTCCCTTTAAACGTTTTGTATCGGATACTGATTTATTAAATAGGTTAAAATAGCAAACGTATTAATAACAAATGTCCCGATATAAAATTGTGTATGAATTTTTAGTTAAAAAATATCTTCTTTACGGCCTACGCTTCATTGTTTATTGAACGAGATGCCCAAAATTATGTTGATAAGTATGTTAACTTACTACAAATTTCTTTGTAAATAACCATTTGTTATATTTGAAATTATTGTTTTCCAAATTTCGCCCCGCAGGTAGGGGTATTTGTGACAAAATTTTGCCCCAACCTACGGGCATTAGTGTCCTTTTGTCAAGGCTGTTTTGACAAATCTCCGGGGTGGCCCGGGGGTCGACCCCCCGGGAAAGCCGCTGATACCTGCATTAGACCGAATATAAATGCAAACGCCACCGCCATAACGGCCATTTACACTTCGGTCTCTTCGAACAATTTCAAAACCTGGTAGACAGACCTCCTGATCGGCAATTGTGGAATCAAGCTTGGTTTCGTTTATACATAATATGTCTATTTTAGTGCTACTTGTAAATATTCGTAATTCATCAATATGGGATAAGAGACTATTAATATTCAAACAAGCCATAACCATACCACGATGAGATGGTATTTTGTCTACGTTTATATATGGTAGGCTATTTCTATTAGAATAACTTGGTTCGTTCAACTCACCCACTTTTGTTGGCATTTCTTCATCTAATCTAGATTGTTCGTCAGCATTATTACTTACGGACTCCCACATGGCTGTATTCTAACAATTCCTGTCGTAAATATAGTTTGTAAAATTTCGTGCCATCATACTTGATCCCATTTTGTTGAGGTGGATTCTACTCTGGTTTAATTGGTTAATTGTAATGTTAGTGTGGTCGATGAATTTCCAATGTTTCTGAATACAAGATTCCTTCAGCGCTGCGTTGACTTCATTGACTTTACGTGTTAGCATTTCGTCACTGAACGCGTGACAAGGCCAGACACAACTAGATCCGTCTCTGGGATTGATCTCTTTATTTTTTCTCCCAATGATATAATTTCTTCTGCGCAACGAGTGGAATTCTCACGACCCTTTAGGCTATTTGTGCCGACGTGTAGAATCAATTTGTCAGGGTTTTTTCTTAATACTGGCTTAACATAGTCATCCATGTCTAGTGTGGTACATCCAGGGAAGGTCGAGACTTGAACTCTTGTGTTAGACTTCGACATCTTGTATCTATTGATGTGCTTTATCATGGAATCGCCTGCTATTATTACTTTAACAGGATTTTGATGATTTCCTCGAGTGTTCGGATATCCATCTTTTCTCCCTTGTCTGCTCGAGATGATTACATTTTTTTTAACAGTAGCATTTGACTCGTCAGCACAGGTTGTCTCGAGAGGACAATTTTCATGCGTAGCAATTGTTGGTATTTCTTGTAGTTTCTGAGTCTGATCGCGTTTACGTTTCTTTTTCTTTTTATTTAATTCGACCCACTGGTTTCCCCCTTGATCATCGTCAGTATTGTTTACGTTTGGCCGCAGAGAGTTGTCTTCCTGTATTATTCTTATTGCCGTTGTCAAGCTAGATTTTTCATTTTCGAGATGTTTGATTTTCGCTTGGAGATCTATTATTTTAGAATTGGCCACTTCTAACTCACTTTTTAGATAACTCTCTTCGCTTCGGCATGTGGCAGTCCTACACATCAAAGCAGTTTCATCAGTTTCAATCATTTATCCAAGGTCGATCAACAGTGACCCAGTTATTGACAGTCTATCATGATATGTTGGATACTTTAGCGAGCGGTCAGGAGGTGGACGTTATACACCTGGATTTTTCAAAGGCCTTTGATAAAGTGTCGCACAACCTATTATTGAACAACCTTAAAGGTCATGGAATCGGAGGTCCTCTCTTGCAATGGTTTGACAGCTATCTTTCTCACAGGTGTCAACGTGTAATGCTGGAGGGTGAATTCTCAGACTGGCTGCCTGTAACATCTGGAGTACCGCAGGGATCAATCCTAGGGCCTCTATTATTCATTATCTATGCCAACGACATGCCCGACTGTTTATCTGGTGAATCAAAGTTAGCTCTTTTTGCTGACGATTCTAAACTCTTCAGATCTATGTCGTCTAGCAGTTCTTCTGCTACCCTCAATCTGACCTTAACAGTTTATTTCAATGGAGTGAGGATTGGAAAATGTCTTTTAACATCTCAAAATGTCAGGTACTGCACATGTCCTGGAAACGAACACCAAGCCATACCCACACGAATTATCACCTTGGGGGACAAGATCTACAAGTGGCAGTTGCTACTAAAGACCTCGAAGTGACCGTTTCCAATAATTTATCGTGGTCTACCCATATCATCCAGATGTGTGCAAAGGCCAACAGAACTCTAGGTCTTATTAAACGTGTCTGCGGCAAGGATATAGTAGATCAAGAGACCCGGAAGCTATTACATATTACTCTGGTAAGGTCGCAACTCGAATACGCTTCAAATCTATGGTCTCCGTACACAATAAAGGAACGTGCACTAATTGAAAATGTTCAAAGGAGAGCAACCAAATTCATCTTAAATCACTACAGCCGAGATATCTCCTTCAAGGACAGATTGTTAAAATTGCACCTGTTGCCACTTGAATTTAGGAGAGAGATCTCCGATCCCATTTTTCTATATAAACATAAATGTGGGATACTTAACGTGGACTTTGGTAGTCTATACAAGCCTGTTTGCCCCCATTATAATACTCGTCGAACAGATAGTTATAACCTTCGTGAATTATTTAACCACAAACAGTGTTACTATCAAAATTCATATTTTCCAAGATCAGTGAAATTATGGAACAATCTTCCACATGAGTTGAAAACTTGTAATCGGAGTGCTGCTCTTTTTAGGAGGCAACTCTCTTCTATTTAGAATGAAAAGCTCTTAACATACTCCCCGCCTTAATTTAGTACTAGATAATTTTTCATTATTGCTTTTTATATATATTATAATATACATTAAATAGCTTTAGATATTTTAACTGCATGTAAGGGGAAGATATCAATTGGGATTTTATCCTGTTTCTCCTCGTGTCGTTAATATTGTAATTTTTGTAACAAATGTTAATAAATTCAAATTCAAATTCGATTTTTCAATAGTTTTAAGTCACCTTCGACACGCTTGAATTGAACAGCTAACTCACTGCAGTGGCATTGTGAACTTATAATTTTACCAGAATCGCAACCGTATTAAGTCGATTTTATCTCGATTTCTGAATTATCTACGTCTTCCCGGTATTCTGTGGCATGTGTAGGTATAGATGTCTTTTTAGTCGATATATTCTCAACAGTTTTGTCCATATCCAATGTATCTTCGCCTTCCGCGTGTTGCTCGTCGCTATGACCTTTGAATTCGCCTTGGATGAGTTTAACTATTCTGCGGGTTGCGGGCTGCGGGCCGAAACTGCGGGCTGCGGGCCAAAAAATGCGGGCTGCGGGCCAAAAAATGCGGGCTGCGGGACGAAAAATGCGGGCTGCGGGACGAAAAATGCGGGCTGCGGGCCGAAAATGCGGGCTGCGGGCCAAAAATTGCGGGCTGCGGGCAGCAAAATGCGGGCTGTGGGCAGAAAAATGCGGGCTGCGGGCAGAAAAATGCTAACACGATTGGAAGCCGCGGGTCTAGTTGCGGGCCTGACGAATTTTTAAAAAAATATTGTCAAAATGTAAAGAAAATAACAATATTATTCAAAATTTTCTGTCTTTGAAGTATATTCTATGTCTAAAGTTATTCGTAATCATATGCATACGAATTTTTCCTTAAATTCATTCTTTTTGTAATATCATGGAATCTCAGTTTATGAGTCGTACCAGACATTAAAACCTGTTTCGACCGGGATAACTGTACACCAATCCTAATAGTAGCACTATTTTCCATCCAGCAAACTGACCTGACGTCATTTTCGGAAGAGAGAAGAGGTGTGAAACCTGTTTTCCACTTCGACCGTATCGTAGCATTTTCTTTTGTGTTGAAATCATTAGTTCCACTCTAGCGCTCAGGAAACAAAGAAATACGCTACGTTTCGGTACACGGCAAAAAACGCCGAGCCCGCTGCTCAACAGGATTGAACAATGTTTTGCTGCCCACATTGTTCACACTTGTCAACAATATTGAACACTATTGTTGAGCCTGAATATTGTTCAATATTGTTGACAGCTATGAACAATGTGGGCAGCAAAACATTGTTCAATCCTGTTTTCATCAGTATTGCATCAACCTGAGCGTTTTTACGCGTGTACGATACGGTTGAAGTGGAAAGCGGCCTTTAAATGGCTATGTAACTAACACAAACCCTACACCTAGTCCCTACTCTAACCCCTAACCCCAACCCTAACTCTAACCCTAATCGAATTAATAAAAAAATGCAAAAAAACGACTTTAGAAAATCGATAGGGCGGTTTGCTGGATGGAAAAAAGTGCTAACCGCCAAAATCATAGGAAAATCATAGGAAAAACCAAGAAATTGGGCTTCTGTATGACCCTTTCTGTGCCCTGGTTATAATGCGCTACCGCTTATAACTTTTGGTACAACTGGCCTGAAACTTAAAATATTGATTCAATAAATTTAATATCAATATATTTATTGTAAAATAGCTATTATGTCAAAATAAGAAAACTTAAGATTCTCACGCGAATAGGCAATGTTTTTATGAGCGACTGTTCATCGTTAGTTGCAAACGACGGTAATATAAACAAGGTCAAGGTTTTATCGAAAGCGATTGACTGTTAGATTTCCTTTTATACTATTTTATAACTAAATAATGTTATTTCCTACAAATTTAGCTTTATTGTAGCTTTATCGAAAGTATAAAAAAAAACATGGAAACGGCGAATTACTATAGACTGAAAATAATTATTAAACTATGATTGAAATTATCGACGTAGAATACTATTTCGTTGTGTTAAATTTCAATAGTATAATGAGAATTTTGTTTGATATTTTAATATATTTCATGCTATTTACAAAATGTACTGTTGTTTTGAAGTTTTGCACACAATATAGTATATATTGAGCATATATAAAAAATTGGGTATTTTGATAGCGTAGCCAGGCTTCACAATATAAATATTAAAATCGACTGATAAATAATCATTCATTTTATGATTAATATTTTATTGCGAGCACAACTGCTCCAGAATCACAACAAATAAAAGAATATAAGGAAAATTAAAACCAGCAAAGCTTTATCTACCTTGATCTATTTTTAAAGGCGCTCAATTATTTTTCTTTGCCTTTCCTCGAGCATGAGTGATGAAATGCTCGTCGGAAAAACTCCGTATTTGTCGTATTTTACGAATTTGCCACGTGACCGGTACGCTCGCCAATGAAAGTTGCATGCCATATATGGCATGCAACAAAAAATTAGTTAGACCAGCAATTTGGCCCGCGGCCCGCAATTGTTTTAACCCGCAGCCCGCAAAACCTGACCCGCAGCCCGCAAAATAGCTAGACCCTAGTCACTAGACTGCCGGCCATTTAGTATTTGATAAACCGTGACCGGCTGCCGGTCATATAGTCACTTTGATATATTAAATATTAAAAACGACTGATAAATAATCATTCATTGCAAGCACAACTGCTCCAGAATCACAACAAATAACAGAATATAAGGAAAATTAAAACCAGCAAAGCTTTACCTACCTTGATCTATTTTTCTAAGGCGCTCAATTATGTACATTTTCCGCGAACACTCAAACATTTTTCTTTCCCTTTCCTCGAGCATGAGTGATGAATTGCTTGTCGGAAAAACTCGGTATTTGTCGTATTTTACGAATTTCTACGTGACCGGTACGCTCACCGCCGCTCACCGCGACACGAAATTTAGAGCTATATGAAAGTTGCATGCATAGGCGTACGGGACGGGAGAAAATTAGGGGGGCAGAAAGAAATTTGCCCGAATTTTTCGGATTGTGCCCGACAAGTGCTGAAAAATTTTTTTCCGGAACAATTAATTTTTGCGACCTCCCCCCACCGTCGCCAAAAAAATTTCGGTCAGTGTACCATTTTAGGGGTCCAAAAAAATTTTCCGACATACCAAAATTTTTCGGAACATCAAACAAATTTTCCCGAAAATCGCCATAATTTTCCGCAAAATTTACACAATTTGTCCCATTTTATTATATAATAACCCAATATTGCCCGACTGTACGTTAAGCGAATATTGCCAAACTGGCTTTGTTTGCCCAACAAACTGGGATTATTATTAAGAGAGATTTTGTTGCTTTTACTACTTTTTGCCCGACTTTTGCCCGACTTTTGCCCGACTTTTGTTGAACATTTGCCCGAATTTTCGACTTTGTAATCTTTTTCGACTTTGTAATCTTTTTTTCGACTTTGTAATCTTTTTTGTAATCTTTGCCCGTACGCCTATGGTTGCATGCAACATATATGGCATGCAACAAAAAATTACTTAGGCCAGCAATTTGGCCCGCGGCCCGCAATTGTTTTAACCCGCAGCCCGCAAAAACTGACCCGCAGCCCTCAAAAACTGATGCGCAGCCCGCAAAAACTGACCCGCAGCCCGCGGCCCGCAAAATAGCTAGACCCGCCTTGGATCAATTTGGCTAAAGTTTTAAATTTCTCGGCGAGACTTTGTTCCTTGTCATCTTTAACAAGCACGATCCTCTTATTTCTTCCATACCATTTTATTACATAATTCTTGCTAGTAAAGAGCTTTACTTCCCCACCAGGGGAAGTCCACTTGCCTTGAACATTTAAGTCGGTTTGTACAAAGATTTTTAAGCTTTCTATAGAGCCTTTCCAGGCAAATTCATTGCCTGTGTTTATAAGATTAGTTATCTTAGACGGTGTCGATGTTATTAAGGAATTTTCTTTATGTGAACGCTGAGGAAATGTGAAATAATCCTCAATAATTATTGAGGTATCCATCGCACGTCTATCCGCCATGACAAACGCACTAAGATGCGGAAAGTACCCTTTTGCCAGCTCGTCTATGCCAAAGGTTTTTGGAAAATCTGCTAATCTCATTGGGATAAAGTTCAAGGAATCGATAAATTTGATCTTGAACATGTCCACAGATAAGAAAAGCACTTTGGCACCGCGCATGATGACATCGTACTTGACACCCTTCTCCCGTAAGTATTGCAGAATAAAGTAACTGTCGTACCCCTGGAAATTATGGGCCATCACCATACAATTTGCTCGTTCCTTTTGAAATAACCATTCAGAAAACTCGTTCCGTGTGTTATCCCCTTCAAATACCCATTCGTCACCGGCTTCGTTCTGAATCACGCATAAATTGGGTTCATGATTTCCATTTTCCTGACGACACTCGAAATCAAAGAATAACACTTGGTCGTACTCGCCTTCCGTAACATCATCCTCAGGGTGCTCAGACGAATCGTCACTGTCCGATAAACCTTCGTTCCGTTTTTCCACGGGCTGCATGTAACATCGATGGTCGCCGGGCCGGGTATACTCTTTACATATTGGGCACTTTGACATACCCCAATGATGCGAATCTCTTTTATAGCGTTTGATAAGTCCATGACAGTCAGGACATCTAACCAGGGTCGCACAGATCGATTTTCCGCTTGACTGTTTATGCCGATCGAAACACGCTTGACTTTTGAACATCCGGTTACAATCATTGCAGTTAACCCAAGACTCGATGGGACAGTCGGGAAAACGACAACATTTACAGGCACTCGGGCATAGGTGATCTTCTCGATGATCATGAGCTTTCTTACATGTATGGCAGTAGTACGTTTCATGATATTCGGAAAGCTCCACATTCGCAAATGCATTCGTAAATTGAATATGATAATCCATACCCGTGGTTTTGAACTTTTTCACATTCATTCGTTTCACACTCTGCACCGTAAAAACGTTGTCGCTAACCTCGTTCTCATAAGACCCTTCTTGTCCAGGTTCATTATCAACGTTGCTCGTCTCTTCAAAAGATCTTTTCTGTCCGCGACCGACTTGTGGTTCATCGCTGCTCGTCCCTTCACAAGATTTTTTCTGTCCGCGACCGACTTGTGGTTCATCATCATCGCTGCTCATCTCCGCATATGATCTTTTCTCACCTCGATTAATCTGCATCGGAAGCTCTTCATCTTGCCAATCGCGTAGAAACCTCTCGCGTTGTTCGGGCGTCCAGGTATCTGTAAGACCAGGTACTAGTCCTAACCGTTCGTTTTCCAAACGCCATTCCTTTATCCGCAGAAAAATCTCCACTTTCTTCTCAAACACTAAACATTCTTCCAGTTCGTTGAATACGTTTTGACTTTCCAAAGCCAAAAGTTCCGCTATCGTCTGACATTCTTTAATCTTTCTTTCCATATCTAAACCAAAAAACGATTCGCTCAAACAAAATTATTACACAAATACCCTTTAAGTAAATCTAAACATTTACCTGGAAAACAAGCTAGTTGTCAAACAAAATATCCACCAAAGCTCTTTCGATGTAAACAGTATATTTGAAGTAACTTCCCTAAGTGAAAACTATGAGCACAATAACGATAATCGCTCGTCTCCTCTATTTATATTCTTCATCCAACACAGCTAACCAATCAGGGATGGTCACGATTATAACGTAATTGGTGTACGTACACCGTGTACGTACACCTAATTTATATTCGTACGCATCAACCAATCAGAGATGAACATGACGTACTGGTGTACGTACACCGTGTACGTACACCTAATTTATATTCGTACGCATCAACCAATCAGAGATGGACATGACTATGACGTAATTGGTGCACGTACACCGTCTACGTACACCGCGTGCGTACGGAGTCTACGTACACCGTGTACGTACACCATACTATATAAAGCAAATCGTCACTATATACAATCAAAATGAACTCGTGTGAGCAAGTATTCTGGGCAAAGTGTCTGAATGTAGACGAAGTTGTGCCTTGGGAAATCAAAAACCTGTGTAATCTAATGAATGCTATCTTTTCGGAAGCCGTTGACTGTCAAGTCCATAAACTTCGAAAAGAAAAATGCTGTGGTTGTGAAGTAAATCATCCAAGTCAGAAAAGACATGATTGCCTCATGATGTCCGGAGAAGAAGGATGGATAATGCATGGATCGGAAGCAGTAAAGCGAGTGATCGAACAACAAACAGTTTCGAATTAAACAGTTCACCGAAGCTATACGCGTCATGAAACTAGACCTTCATGAACATGTCATTCAACATTTCAAAAATCTAACCAATGACCCCGAAACAACCGCCGAATTCCTAAAAGACTTCAAGTTTAACTCAAACTTTCCTGAACATCGCATAGGACTTTGATTAATGATTGATTGTCTTTGTATTCTTGAAATAATGATTCGATCAGCATAAGATCAGGGTTTTCTGCCAAGCTCAACAAGTGTTCCGTAAAATATTTTTCAAACGGAACATTCAGGATTTCAATAATATTACTAAATTCACGCCAGACAGCGTAATTAGTTCCAGCTTCCTCTACAGCATCAAGACCATACATCTCCCATTTTTCAAACTCATCCAACATTAAGCAGTCCGGGTCACGGATTTTACACCCGCAACAAAAGAGGTTAAATTTCCTTTTAATGCTATGTGCAATGACCTTGGCGTATATTATTTCTATCAGACGAAGCTTTTTGTTTGAACCGTTCATTATGAAAACCAAAGTGTAAATGAATCTGTATTACTGATTGATTCAAATATACCCCCATGTTTTCATCAACACATTCCGCTCCTGCATACTAATTACTTCCGGCGCTCTATTCGCTCCTGCATACTAATTACTTCCACCGCTCTATTTGCTCCTGCATACTAATTACTTCCGCCGCTATACAGACGGGGTAATACTACTAACCCTAATCCAATCCAAATCTGGCGACCTTTTATTTAGCCTTAATTTTGAGAAGAGATCATGTTGATTCGGTGCACGCCATATAATGCGTGTGCTATTTTGTGTCTTTTGTATGTCAATCCATTGGAGAAGTCCACCTCCCCCTCTACACACTACAGACAATAGTACTTTTACTTTTACTTTGTACTAGTCAAGTATTTTTTAAGGATACTTTGTACTTTTTACTTAAGTACGTTTTGCGTCCAGTACTTTTTACTCTTACTCAGTCGTTTTATTGTTAATTACTTCTACTTTTACTCGAGTACAAATTCAAAGTAATTTGGGCACCACTGGTCGACTTGTTATGTCCAAAGAAGCTATTTTGAAGCCTCGGATAGCGGGAACTAACCGGTCTTGTTGATTGTCAATATAAATTGAATTTGAATTGTGCTCATAGGGTAGGGTTGACTTTCTAGTTTCGCACATTGTGCTTAATTCAATATTGTTAGTGTTACCACCTATGTAAAAATAGTCAAAACGTAGTCTAAATTTGTGGTCACAAAACATGCTGTGGCATTTAAAGTTCTTCGTAGAACTCCGGATTTACCGTTTACACTAATCAAAATGTTATTTTAATTAAGGAATCTACCCAAAAACATTGCTGATGGTTCATGGAATCCGTTGAGGTTCAAAACTGGTCACGAGTTTCCCTAAAAAGTTTATCACATAAAATCCCTCGCGTGCAAATCTCAAGGAACCGATTTACTACTTTAGCGATTTCTATAGTAACTTAATCTATGTCTGCACGCAGGCTACTAGTAACCAGAGAGTTTTTAAAATGTTAGGATGTGGATATGGACAACCATGAACCTCAGCTCTCATGGCGATTTGATTTTTCCAAGTCTTTGGTTGTATTCTGATGAATTGTGCAACAACAACGGGTGAAAGTTCTTGACGCACAACACTACTTCTGTTAGTGTTGCCTATAAATACCTGGTTTCAAAGAGATACATAATTTTAGTCATGAAATACCTGTCTGTTATATAAAGTTCGTCAAGAAAATGCTCCCAAAATTCTTTGAATGCAAATGAAAAATAGTATATATGAACTGGAGGTTGATAACATGATGATTGTAAAGTAAGGTGATAATTTATCTCGCTGATGAAGATATTTATTTTTATATAATATATATTATATATTGTTGAATCCATTCTCTAATATTTATTTCTATATAAAGATTTACATGAAAAATATCAGTACTATGTACTCCACTTGAACCCCATGATGCAACCTGGTTCGACAGGGTGTTTGAAGAATTGGGTCTAGAACTATTAGTCTTTTTACTGTTTTTAGGATTTAAGTTGATTAATTTCACTTCAATAAAATACCAATGGTAAGCACAATTATTATGAACATTGTTAAAGTGACACATTCGTGCTTCCTTTTGTTATGTACAGTGCTGCTTTAAATAGGCGCAGCGGTCAAAATATGTGATTTCGACAAACAATTTGGACTCGTATTTCCTCACTCTATAATGGATTACGAACAACATGATCTTACGTTCATGCACAGAATAATTAATGCACAATGGCATGCTAAAGTTGGATTGCGTTTTTTAGACACCCTGTATAATCACCCACGGACATAACACCCACGAGTGAGTTTTTCAAAGACCTCAAACGCTTCTGAGACCTCGGGAAAATATTTTTTCAGTACGGACCTCGCAGCCGGTAAATAACATATATATATTGGCCCTTTGGCATGAATCGAACCTGCAGCCCTGTGATTCGAACCCAGGACTGCAGGTTCAATTTCTGCCAGAGGGTTTTCGCAACTGCTCCTGGTTAGGTCTAAATTGTATAAAATTTACGCTCGAAATTTCCATTTACAAAATATTTCTGCAATTAGTTCTATCGAGTGAGATGCCCAAAATGGCATTTTAACTATTTTCCTACAACCTGCCCAAGCTGTGGAACTGAAAAATATATGATAGTTACCTCATCCTGCCCTTTATCCCCTTTGTACGTTGTAAAATTCACGCCATCGTCAGAATAAGCAATAGTGTAACTTCTAACCCATTGATTATAGTCAGGACGGCCTTGTGTGAGAATCTCTGTAACTGTTGCTTTATATTTAAAATCAATTTGCAGCCATTGGTTGGTGTCTGGTGACCTGCCCGCAATCCAACATTTCTTCCCATGTAATCTACCGTGACGTGGACCCCAGTTTCTAGTCCATTCACTCGAGGCTTTGATTCTTGAATCCGGTATTTTTCTACTTTGCATTCCTAACGCTTTAGGGTCTTTGCAAGCTGGAACGGAAAAATAACTTTAAATAAATGGTTCATTTCTTGCGATTTTGAACATATTTTAGTACATGTATGTTACTCATTCTATAACTAAAATATCGTATCGTTTATATAATGTTCCACGATCTGTTGTAATATTTCCTATATGATATGGATTATAATTCATGCATTAATTAATCATAAGTCATTTAAAGACAACATGTTTTTCGATATTAACTTCCGAAATACTTCATGTATGAAATTTATTCAAACATGTTTAAATTCGTCATGTTCTAGGGATTTCAAATATGTATAAATGGTTAGCGTTTCGCATATTGTAACATTTTTATGCCTAAATTTGTTGTGACCATGAGAATACAAAATTCCGATTTCCCCACGCGTAAGATTAATGACTTACATTTTGATACATTAACCCATACAAATAATTCAAATGACAATCATATATATTTTGGCAAGTATATAGGACAATAAAAAGCTATAAAAATGAGAACAATGTATAAACAATACAATATTTTAGTGATAGAATGAGTAATATATCAATATATGTTCAATATCGCCTAAAATGTGGATAGAGTGAACGAATTTATTATGACAAATTTGAATAAATTTAATCCCCAAAACTGAGGACTTAATTTATGCATGGAACAAGCAATCGCGCCATATGATCAAAGACCTTACCAATTGTAAGGTCTGTGACACAGGTTAGACAAGTATTTAAGCGCAAGCATAGCTATTAACATAGTGTGTCAAGATATGATGGTCTGCAAGCCGGACAAACCTCAAAGCCACAGAATAGAAGACAAAATTACTGGAAATGCTGGCAATGCACTTCCAGGTTAATAGTCCTTAAAATGTTCTGGGGACATACCCTGCCGATCCCCACTCCTATCATACTATGCGATCGTCATGAGGACCCTGGCTAGTGCAGATCAATAGGTCCCTTTTCCTTATGGCCCCCCTTCCCCCACAAACTGACGAATTTTTTAAAAAGGCCCTGATGTGTTTTCAGTACATTACACGTTATAAAAAAAGAAGATAACTTTCATTTACAAACCTTTTGGGAATAAGCAGCTTGCATTGTAGTCCTAAAGGTAAAAATATTGTTATTATAATTCTACTTTGCTTTTAAAATCCCTAAATGCTGGATGCAACAGTTAAATTGAAGGCACCATGCAAGCTCGCGAGATTCCGAAACAGAATACCTTATCCGCGTGAATATTTACTCAAATAACAAAGCTTATAGGAATAATTATTAATTTTGATAAAAAATATCAATCAATTTTCAGTAAACATTTTGAGGAATTAAAGAATGAAGAGATTCTCCAAATTTACAACGCACCAGGCATGTAAAAAACTACAAAGAATTAGACATCAACATGACAGTTCGCATTCCATTTTTTTATTTTCCAAATACATATACAGTACTGTATAAATACTATTTGGGGATATTAAGAAATAATTAATTAACTGAACCTCACCTTTTTCGAGCTTGTTAAATACACATGATCAAAAGAGGGGTTTGTTTCCAGCAATTTCTCAGAAGTATTGTATACCACATTATGTAGCATTTCACAAATTTGAGCATCGTGTGAACTCGATTTCTTTTGAATGTTGGTTGATCTGCAACATGGTTCTTTGTCACATTCGATGAGGCAATCAATCCGTTGGGAAACGTGAATAGTCATGAAACGGCTCGTAATAAGTCTGAAATCTACAGTATATGGCAAAAGCAAGTATCAGTACCAGCTCGATTAAAAACCGATGTCGATCTGCACGTACGGAGCAAACATCCTAAAGAGCACCTTATAAAGATCATATATTCAATGCCCTCCCTCTTGATGCTCTCTACAGAACTGTAGAGATGCGCAGTTCTGTGATGAACGCAATTAAAATTGTTTTTATATTGCAATCAATTTTGTATTGCAAGTGTCATTTTTCGGAATTAAACTTGCAGGGAGGTAAGTCCGGGATTGGACGCACCCTGGACGTTTCCCGTTTTTATCACACGCCTTTTCGGTAAAACGTGCAGAAAAATGTAGGCATTTTAATATATAATTTCTTGTTTTGATTATTGCATGGATAGCCATCATACTACACAAACAAACTTAGGCTTAAATTAAAGCAAAAGAAATTCTCCACAATATTCCCTTATTCTTGAAAAGAGAAAATGCACACATGGCGAAATCATTGCCAAGTTTTGTGTGAACCTGCCCGTGCCGAACAAATTTCGGCGGTCATCTTTCTTCTCTTCCACTTTGAATACAGAATGTTCCATTTTCATAAAAAATACTGTTATAAAACAATTAAATAAAAACAATTTATTTTTTATTAAAATCTTCGTCTAAAATTTGTTCAAATCGCTTCACAATGGTCAAAACATACGTCAGCAGGTGAGTTCGAGATTGAACGCACGTCCTCGTTGCCAATAGGACAGCCGCTAATACGCTAGGTATGGGATAATATTTTCTGTGGACATTATAAGCGAAGCCCAAAATGATGAAGGACTCTTCCTTTTGGAACAGCTACAGCCCCAATATGACGATTTTTTCTCTTTCGTACAATTATCTTTAATATCCAATAACGTTGGCTCCTACCTTTATATCTTTCATTGAAACAAAAGTTCGGCACGTATATTTTTTGGTCTCGCGCATGACTTCCCAGGAATATGGATGGAATAAAAAAGTACAACCAATGATATCTGTGATGCATTGTAGCTAATTGTGTAATCAGGACCGTTCTAAAAAGAAATAACTCGCTAGATGAAATAGTTCATGTGCTTGCTAAGGCAGCTTTACAACTGCATTTACCAATATTATAGTGAAGAATTTGAAACTATAATGTTAATGATTCCGGGTAAATTCATACCTAAAAGCTAAACTATTCGTAAAGAATCACAATCAACCATGATGCTTCGCGCGCCATGTGAATATTTATATAAATGACATTGCACCCTTATTGGACCAGTTCATAAAATAAACTGTAAATGACTGATGATATACATTGTCTTTATTATGAACAAAAAATTTTAAGACATTTACCCGCTGTGTTTCGAAATCTTGATTCCTGCCCTATCACATGCAACTTTCACACAGTTCGTCCATGCTTTGGTGGAGCAGGATTTCGGCGAACTCGCCATATATGAAAGCCCCTATATTCTATTAACTGTCCCTGGTTTAATATTGTGATTCCAGTTTTTGTAGGACCTATTTCGAACACGACATACATTCATCGTTTGAGTTCATTTTGCATTAGGTTGGTGTTGTGTACCTGAATGCACAACACCAACACAGAAAAAAAGGTTAGGGAGGGTTGGTGTGTCGCGACACTTCTGTCTAATGCCAGACAATTTCACTCAGCAGGAGAGAGTGCTGCCACTGAATGGGTTCAAGACTTTCTGTAATTGGAAATTTTGAACATGCAATGACTATGTAATAGGTATTGTGCCGGGAATGGAACCGATCTCCTAATCAGCTCTTTAACCGCCCAGAGACCATCAAGCCCCGAGAGTTCATCAAGCCCCGAGATCGATTCAACCAATGAACCAAGCTAATCAAGAGTTGATGCATATAATACTAGTGTCATCCCAGTTTATTTAATATACTATGACCAATGGCACTACCATGGTATATATACAGCAACTTGTGGTTACCTCTTGGCAAAAGGACTCTTAAGTCAAAGGGCTGCAATATAATTTTAGGGCTGCAGGTTCAATTCATGCTATCAGGCTGGCAATTATATTCCTTTGCAATTGCTCCCAGATAGTTCTAAGAAATAAATATTAACTGTAATGTTTCCATTCGAAATATCCATTCACAAAACCATGATCAGTCTGCTATTATTGCCTTACTAGAGTAGGCTCTTGATTAATTAACAGTTGTTCTACGAACTTGAGTCGAACGCTATCGCTTATATTCGACGAGAGTGAGTGGAATAACTGTTTTATCCCCGAGCCGACGGCGCGAAACGCCGTGCGAGGGTACTAATTACTCCCGGCTATTTACACCCGGGGAAACGAAATCATTAGCGAAGTCTAAAGTTCATCAATGATCGTGGGCGCTCACCAACGATGTTCAGTGGGTGCTCATCACTGATCTCAAAATATGGCTGTTTGCCAAGAGTGAAGAAGGCAAGCTTGGAAAATCCTTTCACATAACAAATTGTACAACTTGATAAATCCTAAAGTATAGGGCAAGTTTGTTTCAATCGTTTATGTATGACTTTGTATTTAATAATATAGACTTTGTTCTTGATGTTCAAGTCTTTCCTATGCATTTGTTACGAGGCTTTATTTTGGTAGTGTAGTGAATGGTTACAGTCACTCTAAAATAACTATGTTCGTCTTCTTGTAGTGGTTTTACTAAAGTTCACTTCAGCCTTTAAATCTTCGTTGTCTTTAGTTTGTCTTCTTTGTCCGTGCTGTTTTGTTTTGAGTTTTCGTAGCTTTTCATCATTTAAGCTTTACTTCGTCTACATCCACTGACTTCACTTCACTCGAGAGTCCACTGACGACTTTGGATTTTGCACGTCCTTTTATACTAACGGTTGAGGGGATCTTTGTACACGTGGTCTAACAAGTGGGATAATTCATATCCAACCAATCGACGTTGAGCTGCAGGAGCGTGGGTTGGCGTCGTTAGCTCGTCCCAGCCCTCAAAGTCTGTTTGTTTAAGGCGTTGCCGTACTGGTAGAGTCGGTCTACTGTTCAATCGATCGATACCAAAACAGGTTCACAACTTAAAATACTTATCAAGGTATTATAGTAAAAACTTCAAACTATACCTATGTGAACCTTACTTTACCTACTAAACTAAATTTACTCGTAATTTTATCGAACTAGGTTTCTATGACGTAATATGTAAATTTCGTGACCGAGTGTTATCCAGCTTGGAATGACACATCTTTATACGCTTGAGTCTGTCCACGTGAAAAGGTCAATGTTCATGAGACCTCAGGCAGCTCCGCAGCTGCCCTGTTTAAACAAAACTGCCCACAAGATAAACTATAGGAAACAGGTCAATCAAACATGACATCTTCACATGCACAATGGCAGCTAGTTTAACAAACTGTCACAGTCTAATGGAAGGAAATAATCAATATTTACCTTATTTTGACATGTGCCCAAATATCCATTATCTCCCCTCATTAGGCTTTGGATAATATTTACTTGCAGGAGCATTTCACCTGCTCTCAAGCAAACATTTTGTGTTATTTTATTTTATTTTTACCTAAAATTTTGTCTATATGTGATAATGTTTCGTAACACATTGTTTGCGAAAGTTTCTTAGTTAAATTAACTTTTGTAGAAGAGTAGGCACCTTCTGCGTGCCTTATTCTGTGGCCATGACTAACATGACGTGGTAACACGAGCCTGCGTTCAGTGTTGGCGTATTTGCGAATACTTCATGTTGAAACAATGTTTGGAAAAAATAGGCAAGGTGTTGTTGAATGCATGTATTTCTAGTTATATACACAAGGTCTGAATTCACAGACTTCGCTTTTCGGATATTTTCACATTTTTCTATTTTGTTCATGTTTTAATCTTCGCTCTTTCGGCCAATTATTTTTTCAAAAATATATATTTTTAACCATTTTAAATTTCCAAAATTCATTTGCTAACCTGTAAACAATTTGAGTTTTTCCTGTGCTTTTAATCCTGTATAGGCTATAAAAAGGAAACAACTTGCCGTTTCTCGTTCACAAAAGGTCGGAAATTCAGCTTGACCGCCATTTTGCTTTCTCTTCTAGCAGGATATGAGCAAATATCCTGCTAGTAGAGAACCAATCAGTTGCAGAATACCTCATATCCAGACCTTGTGTATATAATAATTCCTGTTATAATTTACCTTACTTGTGGGGATAATAAATTCTTTTGACTTGAAAAATGTCTTTATTGATTTCTAAGCTGACTTATCTGGACTTTTCTTTACTTCAATATATAGGAGTCATTTTGTCTCCAAAGGAATTGAATTTGACTCGAAAAATGGAGTAAATAAAAAAGGTACGGAACGACTCCTTTTTTTGAGTAAGTTTTACTGCTTTTTTATTCCATTGTTTTGGAGTATTTCTACTCTTTAAGTGGAGTTGTTTTTACTCTTTAAAGAGCAAAAACAATTCTACTTAAGGTGGCTCAACAAAGTTTTAAAAAAATGAAAAATTCACGATTTAGATGCGTATTTTTGGACAATTATTACTTGTTCATAAACAAAAGTGCCTTTCTTATATAAAACATCATCTAAAGAGCTTGAATTTTTGAACAAACGTTACGCAACTTCCGTTGCTATGGCAACAATGACGTTTCAAGATGGCGGATGTTTTGGCTTTAAAGTAATTTAGCTCGTAAACGACATCTGTGACCCCCAAATTTTATCTTAAAAAATGATTTCTCTTAGTATAATCAATTATTTTGACAACAAATTTAAATTACGTAAAGGTGATTATTCATAATAATTATTTTTTGGCTCCACAGAATTTTTTTTAAATTAAATTGTCAAAATAATTGATTATATATTATATATACTAAGAGAAATTATTTTTTAAAATTAAATTTGGGGGTTACTGATGTCGTTTACGAGTTAAATTACTTTAAAACCAAAATATTCGCCATCTTGAAACGTCATTGTGGCCATAGCAACGGCAGTTGCGTAACTTTTTGTGCAAAAAGTCAAACTCTTTAGATGTTGTTTTATATAAGTAAGGTGCTTTTTGTTTATCAACAACTAATAATTGTCCACAAATACGCATCTAAATCGTGAATTTTCCATTTGTTTAAAAACTGTATTGATCTTGAGGAGTAAAATTTACTCCATAAAAGGAGTCGTTCTGTACCTTTTTTATTTTCTCCACTTTTGGAGTCAACTTGACTCCTGCAAATTAACAGTGTGTGTGTACGTCTCGTATAATGCAAAAGTTGAAATCTAGTACATATCAATCGCGGATATAATATTGCTAGCAAAACTTTCACACGAAATGACATTGGAAAATTTTCCTTTAACAATTAACTGTTAACAATGGCAATGCAACTTATGGCCCTATTTTATTACTTTATTTTTTGACTTTGTACAACGCGCCGAACAATTTTACTCGTCATGGGAAGAGTGCTTTCACTCAACAGGTTAAAGTATCCATTGCACATACCTGCAAACATAAATGGCTCTAATTAACTGCTGTCCATTATGGGAAAACTTGCAAATTATTACAAGAAAAGCTCAATTCAATGCTTCCAGAACCGTGAAGCAAAAATAATAGCTATATGTAGTAAATTATGAGATCAGATCCGCTGAGGTCCCTGACTTACTCTCTTGGAAAATTCTTAAAGAGAAATAGCAATATAAAATTTTATTTTCTCATTTGAAAGAACTTTTGAAACTATATATCAACTTCTTTTACAGATTTTTCGTATCTTGCTTAGTTCTTGAAATATTTTCACTTGAAGTAATGAGATGTCCGCCATCTTGGATAAATTTTGATCTCATTAACGGTGCTTTTGGTGATTTTAACTTGCCAAAAATTTCTCCCAATTCTGTGTTTAATTTGCAGGTGGCATTATTCATGCCCAAAAGATAGCAACTGCTTAGAGCCCACTGCGATCAAAATTATGAAAACAGCCGAAAAGTCCACGTACTGTATAGCCAATTACACTGCATGAGAGTATTCTGCAAGAACCATGCGGTCTGGCATGGTTTAAATAAAAAATGTTCTTAAAATGATACAAATACTATATAATTATAGATCCGAGTAAAGGCCCTAAGCAGATGCTTAATTCCTAACAAAACACCCTGAATAATTTAAAGGCATGGGAATAGAAATTCATTTTAACCGGTCACTAATTTTATGGCAATTCAATGCCAAATTTTCTCGCAGCATTGTGCGTCAAGGTTTACAAAAATTGTAACATTCGGTTTCCAAATTTCATACGGCATGTCTCAAGAGGAAAATATAGCAACTATACTTAGAGCCACGTTCACATCAAAATGATGAAAGCCAGCCGAAAAGTCTATTCGTATCCAATCTGTTTATTATTGAAACCTTCACGTAAGGTATTCGTTTTATCAATATTTGGAATTTTTTATCAACGTTCCCAAGGCACTCGTCGTTGAGGCATTAGGTACATAAAGGCAAACATCCAAATCGACTGCATGAGACTATTCTACAACAACCTGTCTTGGTTTAGATCAAAATTATATACTTCAAAATTATACGAAAACGAGAAACGGATTTTGAACCAAATGGGAAATGCCATAGAGGATTTAGCGGATGTTTTGCAAACAACATATTCAGAACAGCGAGGTTTCAGTTCTAGAAGTATCAAACGCTTTTGTAAAGAAAAAGGGATTAAACGTAGAGGAATTGTTTCAAATAAACAACTTAATGATGCTGTTAGAGTTGCAGTCTCTGAGGTAGTTGTTATAGAATCAATATTATATATAAGTCATCATGATAATTATGAAATTATATCATGAGCGTTAATCGCGTCAACTGATCGTGCATTGGTCAGTTAAATAATAGCGTGTTTTAATTAATATCGATATTCGGAACCACCCAGCTAAATGATTAAATCAAGTTATCAGTTCATAGATAAGCCTTATTATAAAAGGCACACCTACATATCGACATGATCAAATGCTCTTTACATCAAGTATTATGTGTACGCTTAGTATACCTAATTACATACTTGGCCTAGATTATTTTATCATCACAACAATTGTAATATTCCTTTCTTAACTGTGTTTATACTAACCCACTTTTATATCCTCTGTTATTCATCTTCTATAACAAATATTTATTCTGCTATATTATACATGTATACTTGCTCTCTGGCTTAGCGTCTCCTAATCTAATGTCTCGTGACCTAATCTTATATGTCAATCACTTCAGCTGACCAATCAGCATTTGGATACAACATCCCTTCCTTAATTATAGTTATGAAAATATCAACCTTTAAAGTTCCTAAAGTCTCTAATTCTATGTAGTTCTTTACTTTGTAGTTCCGTTCTAAGACTTAGTGTCTTGGAATTAATATTACGGGGTTTCATTACCGTGTTCTTTAAAACTAAATAAATGTCAACAGTCTGCATTTTAAACTTGACTAACTTAACCTACTTTTAGATAGTCTGGTTGTTTTCTATTTCTCGTTGATCTACGTAGAACAATTTCCGTTGCTGTAGTATTCTGGTTGGTTTCTGTTTGAGTTGCTTCGGTGTTTTCTTCGCGACTTTCCGTTTGTCTGTCATGCTTGCGATCACTCTGGATTTCTTCTTCAGGATCAGGAATTTCCTGGTATAATTTGACATGCGATGAGTTTCTGCGATGTTGTGTGCCATTCTTGTCTTTTAACACTATCTGCGTGCCGTTTATTTTGGTGATTACCATTGGATCAGGATGAAACTTTGTCGTAAATTTGTTTCGATGTTTTTGAGTAACTAGTACTTTATTTCCGACTTCAAGATTTCTTGGACTTGCTTTTCGCTTCTTGTCGGTATATTTCTTCTCTTTCTCTTTCTCCTCTTCATCTTTCTTGCGAGTTTCAGTTTCATCGTTTGTCTGTTGTTCAAAACTAGGAAGTTTCGTCTTGACTTCTCGCTTCATTAGCAATGATGAAGGTGTTCTTCCGGTCATTCTATGAGGAGTATTGCGGTAGTGGAGTAGCATGATTGGAATGGTGGGTTTCCACGCTTTTCCTTCCGCTTGTGCGGTTAGGATGTGTTTCTCGAGAACTTGATTAAATCTCTCAACTTGCCCATTGGCTTGCGGCCAATATTCCGTCACCGTCTTATGTTCTATTCCCCAAGAAGTTAATGTATCCTTGAACTCGGTAGAAACAATGTAGGATGCGTTGTCGGACTTTATTTCATCTGGAAATCCGTGAGTTGCAAATACCGATAGTAACCAGTCGAGAATGTTTTTGGACGTGACTGATTTTAAGATTTTGACTTCTGGCCAGCGCGAATAATAGTCAGTAAGGACAACTACTTGTTCTCCAGTGGGAAATGGTCCACATACGTCTATGGCTAGCTTCGACCATGGTTTCTTAGGAAGCTTAGTTGGTTCCATTGGCTCTGGTGGCGGGCTCTTACTGACAAGTTGACATGGATGACAGAATCGAATTTGTTCTTCAACCTGCTTGTCCATCTCTGGCCACCAAAGCTTGGAGCGCAGGCGTTGTTTGCAGCGGACCATACTTGCATGATCCTCGTGTGCAAGGCTAATTGCTTGTTGTCTCAGCTTGTTAGGAAGAACAATGCGATCACCCCGAAGTAAGATATCTTGATCTGTGATGCAGAGCTCATGAGCGATGAGCTTATATGCTTTCGGAAGTTTGTATACTTGATTATTTTGCAAGTTCTTTTTAATCTGCTGGAGTTCCGGATCTGCTAATGTTTCTCTTTGTATTGCTTCTAATTTCATGGCATTCGGTGTCTGTGCTTGTGTCATGTAATGAACATGTCGGTCAGCGCAAGCCTCCATGTTGCTTCTCTTGCTTCCATCTTTTCCATCTTTCGGGAGTCGGGCCAAAGGATCGGCCAGATTGGATGGGCCAGGTCGGTAGATAACGTGGAAGTCGTACTCTTGGAGTCGAAGTCTCCATCTTTCGAGTCTGGCTGATGTTGGTTTGCTTTGAAGCTTTGCCTTGTAGATATGCTCTAAAGGTCGGTGGTCTGTCTCCAATTCAAAACTACGTCCATATAGGTACATGTGAAAGTGTTCACATCCGAATACGATTGCTAATCCTTCTTTCTCTATGTGACCATACTTCTGTTCGACATCTGTTAGCGATCTGCTACCATACGCGATTGGTCGATAATTGTCGTCGGCTTGTTTCTGGAGAAGTACGGCACCCAGTGCCCATGGCGATGCATCTACTACGACTTTAGTTTCCGCAGTAAGATTGTAATGAGCTAATACCGGTGAAGTGGTGATGGCATTCTTCAGTGACTGGAATGCTTTCTCGTGACTGTAATCCCAGTGAAACGTGACATTCTTCTTTGTAAGCTGTCGAAGTGGGAAGGTTAGGCTGCTGTAGTCGGGTATATATCTCGAACAATAATTGGTGAGGCCTAGGAAGGATCTGACTTCCGATGCTGTGGTAGGATGTGGAGCATTTGTTATGGCTTCGACTTTGGTGCTATCTGGTCTGATCCCTTTCTCGGACACGATATGACCAAACACGTTTATCTGCGGTACTGCGAACGAACACTTTGGTAGTTTCAGTGTGATGCCATTGGTTCTCAGGATTGTGAGGAGCTGGTCTAGCCGCTTGAGGTGTGTTTCTCTGTCTTTGGACCATAGCCAAATGTTATCAGAGATGTTGGCACAATCTGGTACCTCTTTGATGAGCTCGTGGATAATCTCATGAAAGTGTTCTCCGGATGGTGATGCTTCCATTATCAGCCTGGTGAATCTATGCGGACCATCTTCAGGAGTTGAAAATGCTGTAATATGACGGGATTCCTCTGCCAAGGTCAGTTGAAGATAACCTTGCGACAGGTCAACCTCTGTAAAGACTTTTGCTCCCTCCATCTTTTGAAGTATCTCGTTGACTGTAGGAATTTGTACGCGCCGTCTTACAAGTGCTGTGTTAGGTATACGCATGTCTAACACTAGTCGGAGGTCCCCACTCTTCTTTAGGATGGCTATCAACGGTGATAACCAAGGCGTTGCTCCCTCAACTTTCTCGATTATCCCTTCTTCTCTCATCTCCTGCAGCTTTTTGTTTACTTTGGTTTTCATGCTGTGTGGAATTTTCCGATTTGTTTGTGCGACCGGGGTTATTGTTGGGTCAATTTCGAGCTTCGCTTCACGTCCCTTGAGGTTTCCCGTTCCTTCAAATAACTTTGGATGTTTGTTGATAATGTGACGTACATCATGATCTTGTTGAACCGGGTTGAGGGTGTTGATGTTGAGGATGATAAGTCCCAATGAGGAAGATGATTCATATCCAAGAATACACTTAGATTTCTTTTGTGCTACATAAAACTTAGCAGTTTTGAATGTACCTGATGCTGAGGTGATGGTAGCTTGAAATTCTCCGGCTAACTCGAGTGGTGTTGGTGTTCCATATGCAAAGATTCTGGCATTGGTCTTTTGTAACTTGATACGGTTGTCGTCTTTCTGAATTTGTTGAAAAATTGGGTAGTTCAGAAGGTTAACAGAGGCTCCGGAATCAATCAGAATGTTTACTTTAGTGTGTCCAATCTGTACTTGCGTTTCTGGATGTTTACCCGAGCTTGTGTTGACAGTAAAAAGAAATTCATCGTCCGAGTCTTGAAGATAATCACGACTTTTCTCTTGGTTGACATGTCTGACATTTCCATTGTCCTTAGATTGAGATCTGCAATATTTTGCAAAATGACCGATTTTCTTGCAGTTGTGGCAAGGTTTACCTCTTGCTGGGCAGGACTCTATTCCGTCTTTGTGCGGGAATTTACCTCCACAGTTACGACAGGTTTGGGACTTTCGACCGCTATCTGGAGCTTCTTTCTGGTATTTATTTCCTTGAAAACGCGAATCGGGCTTCTCGGGCGTCCTGTATCTGGAATTTGATCCACCGGAAGTTGGAAATTTTCGATGTTGTTTTGAATTCTTTTCGTTGTAATTATAATTTACCGTTTCGTTACTTTCGCTTTGGAATTTGCTGGCGTTATCGAGGCGTTTAGACTGTTCATCTGTACGTTCTAAGGTATTCCCGTAGTCGAGAATTTGTTTGAGAGTCATCGTCTCACGAAGCGCTTTCTTTCTTAACCGGGAATCGCGGGTTTTGTGAATAATTTGGGTTTTAATCTCGGCTTCCTCGCTGTGAAAATTACATTGTACTGCTTTTGTCTTCAGTCGGCGGTAGTATTCGTTGAGCGTTTCGTTGGATCCTTGCTTTAGCTCGCGAAAATCGAATATAGCCATGTCTGTATTTCCTTGTGGCACGAAGTGTTGGGTGAAACAATCGATCGCTTCTTGAGTTGTGCCAGTGTCGGGGAGAATATCGAAAATGTCGTTGGCTGACTCGCCTACATAGGTTAACAATAAACCTCTCCTAACGGTTGAATGAAACTCACGAAGACTTATAAGCAAGTTTTCGAAACGACGAACCCATTTAGTCCATCGTTGACCCACTGTTGCTGTATCTTGGTGTGGATTGAAGGGAGGAAACGGCGGTAAACCACTGCGTGGAACTTGCGATGTTGTTGTCGCGTTTGTAGCGTTTGACGTTGTTGATGATGATGCGTTTTCAGCATTGATATCTTGACCTTCGGTATCCATAATATAGATTTAGGGTTTTTCGGACCTCGTCGCCACTTTTATATCCTATGTTATTCAACTTTTGTAACAAATATTTACTCTGCTATATTATACATGTATACTTGCTCTCTGGCTTAGCGTCTCCTAATCTAATGTCTCATGACCTAATCTTATATGTCAATCACTTCAACTGACCAATCAGCATTTGGATACAACACCCACTCTGTCAACATTCCCTGCGGGAAGAAACCGGAGCACTCGGAGAAAACCAACGACTTTTGTCAGAGCGTTCACTGACACTTTTCACAAGAGACCGCAGCGAGAATCGAACCAACGAACTCAGAGATGAAAGGCGTCTGCTCTGACGACTGTGCCACTGAGGGCCCTTGTGTACCCCCTCCCCCCTCCCCACAGTGTCCGCCACTGGCCCAATAAATCGAACTAGAGCACTCATCCCAGGGCTTTATGAAGATAAACAAAGCCAACTCAAATGCGAGACACAAGAACATACAAAATTTAAGATTTAAGCCATTAAATAACATCACTCAAAGGGTGACTGTGTGCCGTTTATATGAAGTTTATCTATGAACTGATAACTTGATTTAATCATTTAGCCGCATGCCATTAATTGGGTGGTTCCGAATATCGATATTATAAGACACGCTATTATTTAACTGACCAATGCACGATCAGTTAACGATTAATGCTGATGATACAATATCATAAGTAACCTTATATGTATAGTATAGCTTATATATATTATTACTCGTGCTCCAAGGGAGCTCGAGTCTAGGTTTCGTCGTGTTGAAAATTGGGGGGTCGCGTTTTGGCCTTCGTTGACCCAGTAATTCATTGCGCACTTGTAATCGTGATTTCGCAATATGGCCACTGCGATGAGTGGTGAAATTGTAATTATCAAAATTATAAATGTGGTCCGGCAATACAAGCCATCAGTTTACAAACAATGCGTAAGATGCAAAATATATATGCACAGAAGACATTACCACACTGCAACATTGCTTGGTGCAGTATTAAATTCTTATGCTCATGCATGAAAGGAAAATGTATCATCGATGTTTTGGACGTACAAATTAATGTTTATAAACGCGATACCAAATACCTGAATGTGTCAAGTGATATATCACATCGAACAATACGAATCAATACTGCTACAACTTGTTTTTTGAAAGCTTTCGTCAAAACTTAAAGCAGTGTAGTCTATAAATCATACAACCCGAAATTGAAAGTATTTTCTATATAGTAATATAAACTATTTACATGAGTTGTTCTCAGTGTTCGGTTACGAATGTCTGCCTTCGTAGACTTCATTTAAACGATTAATTTTTCTAAGATATATCACTGATACTGTGATACTGAACTATTGCATGGAATCAGCACAGGTTACACAGCATAATATAATTGATATAAATATTGTAATAATAATAATAATATTTATTCCATACAGGTTACATACATCAAACTAACACTACAAGTCTTAGTGAAGTCTGTGTTTAATACATACATACATACATAAACCATACGCCATATATAATTTATAAATATGATGCGCTATACGGCATTTGTGATAATGTAATGTATTATTTTCGAGTGCTCAGCATCGCTTGCGTGATATTTTTAAAAATACTTGCGAGAAGTTCTTTTTCACTGCTGTTTTAAAATTGCTAGAATACGCCTACTTCTATACAGTAGTGCTAAGTGTTCATGAATATTAATCAGTTTCACATTTACATTAGCGTCAGTACATGAAAAGTTACATCTTTCAATGGACCTAACAGAATATCGATCTCTCAAGAAATGTCTTCTGAATATTGTACCAACTGTTAGTCCATTTGGCGATTTTGACCGCCGCGTTGTATATAGTATCATCCCCCCCCCC